GTTGGTTTTGTTGTCATTCCTGGCTTAGGCTGCTTCGTGTGATCCAGACTGGAAGTGCTCAGGCACTGTGACAGTGAAGCCAAGAGGTTGGGCCATGATTCTGTTCCAGCTGACCCTGGAGGAATGTACATCCTAGTGTCGCCCCCACACCAAGGGGCATCACCATGGCAGAAGCTGTGCCAAGAGGCACCACCATGCCAAGGGGCTCCTGCCCAGCTCACATGAAGGGTTAGAAGGCTTTGGAGAGAGTCTCATCCACCTTTTCAAGTTCATCCCCATAGGCAAACAGGTTCTCCTTCAGGCTCTCAGCCAGATGTCGTTGCCTGAAGCAGCTTGCTCTGCTCTCTAACCAGGGTTTTGGTGAGTTTGCGCTCTGTCTTTTGCCCCTCTGTATGGCACATGGCAGCAGCAAGACTCACAGACCTCTGGAGCATGGTAATGCTCAGAGACTGGCACCTCTTAGTCTAGATCCTAGTGCCTGGGATGTGGGAGCACTGTTCCTTACAGCCTCTCTATGGGGTGTGTTTCACCAGGATGGTTGCAGAAGATTTCCCATGGTTTTCTTTGCTAATCCAGCCAAGCATTTGGACTTGCCAACGATAGCTTAGTATACAAAATCTGGCAAGGACTGAGCAGCAAGCTCCTTGCCAGAAGGTCATGGAGAGGGCAGATACTTTCGGCGGGGTGGGAAGCTATACTGACAGCCAGTTGCTTAGCAATATTTGCTGGATTGATTTTGTTTTTAGATTGCAACCAGTGGAATGGTTTAAGATGGAGAGAAATTGCAGTGCTCCAAGGAATTAGAGCTGAAGAAACCGTGGTGGCTCCCCTTGCTTGTCTCTGGCCAGCATGGGGCTATGAGCTCATGCTTGGTTTGTGGGTGATTTCAGCCTGGGAAATGTCATGGCTTCTGTGGACTACGTCGTGTCCCTTGCCCTGGGAGATATTACAGCTGGAGCATTGTTCCTGGTGACCTGCCTGCGTTTTGCTGCTGTTAACTGCGTTCCTGGTTGCATGTTGACTAAGCCCTTGGACCACATAAAGGGCACGACCATATCATGTGTAGCCAGCTCATGCTGCTGGAGTGGGTGGCTAGTCCCCCTCTGCTGTGGTCGCCATACACCACTGGGATTACCTCGTTGCCACATACCACCTTCTGCAACTCCCACCAGCAAACCGCAGGACCGAAACGGCAGCAAGTGAGTCAGTGCCAGGCGTGCGCATGGGGAGAGGAGCTGAGGCTTCCAGTATTGCTCAGCGGCTTGGAAAAGCTGACAGGGAGGATGCGTCGCCCCCAGACAGAAGATTTTGTCGTGATGACTCCTGGGCTTTTTCCATCTGTGGCAGACAGCTCCTGGGGAGGCTGGTATTCACCACGTGGTTGCTCCATATGCTGCTTAGGCTGACCTCCACCTCCCAAACGCTCCATTGGGTTTGATAGATGTGCAGATGCTGTTGTGGCTGCCAGCCTAGGCTGGGACCGCAAGTCATGGCCAGCGCCATGGGCTGGGGTTTGTGCTCGCTGACGGTGGCAAAGCAGAGAGGTGAAATTAGGGACAAGGACAGTAAATGAGAGGGTAGTGGCTGGAGGAGAGGTAAGAGCCTTCGCTTTTCATCAAAGCCTATTGCAAAACAGGTTAGCTATTGCAAAACAGGTCAGCCAGTCTCAGGCATCCCCTGCTGCCTGTTTTCCTCTATTTGTCTTGCTTTTTTTACCTCCATAGCCCCAATACAAGTGTAGTAGTGCTGTCTCAAGAGCTGGTAGAGCAAGAAAGCCAAGGATGGAGCCCTTTGAAATCCTGGCATAAGGCAATAATCCTCCAGATTTTTTAAGCTCCTTCCCTCCGCAAGTCCCAAGTGCTTTATAAGAGGCCTTACCTACCTAGTTAAACTTGAATTTTATGGCTGCTTGAGGGGGTGCATTTGTGTGCGTATGTGTGTATCTGAGAGGAGAAAGCAGCTACTAAAATCAAGTTGTGATTGAAATGTGAGGCTGCTAGGGATATTGGCAGATACAAAGATCAGGTGTTGCATTGCCTGCTGAAGATGAGAGCATCCTGGCAGCTCGGGAGCCTGGTCGCACCAGCTTATGCCTCCTAGAAAAGCTCTGCCCTTGTAATCTTTCCCATTCCCTTTGCAGGGAACAACACACACCATAGGACTTCCTCCTGGTTTCCTCACTCAAACCTCCATAAAGTGCCAGCTGGGAAGTGTCCATTGGGTGGGAGAGCTGCCCAGGGCTGGTGGCTGTGCTCGTAGGGACTGTTCATAGAGGGATGGGAACAGGTGGCATCTGTGACATTCCCCTGGGACAGAGAGCTGCTGTCTTGAGTACACATGATCCAGAAATGTCATGGTTTCAGCCCTGGAGCAGAAGCACTACACATTGCAGCATGCATCGTAAGGGTGTAGAGGCTGCACATTCAACTTTACATTGAAGCACCTCTAGTTGGAGTAGTTGAAAGCACCTGACTGTGCTGTTCATGAGGATGACTAGGAGGAACATGTGGTCCCAAGGGTGGTCCTACCTCTGCCAAGTGTGGTACCTGCATACACAGGCATGTGGGGCTAAGCGTACATCTCTGCTGCTGCACATCTTCCATGTGTCTCCATGTCCTGTGCCAATGTCTTTGGTGCACAATATGTGAAAGAATGTGGAGATGCCTGTGTGCAGATTGCATGAGGGCAACTCTATTGCATGCAGGTTTTGAAGTGGCTTGCTCTGTTTCTGGCTGAGTCCATGATTGCATCCCAGGAGTGGCAAGCAGTCAAGTGCACTGAAAACACTGTAATATCTCCTTGGAAGTGAAGAGTCAAAGAAGAGAAAAGTAGATTTTGACAGCATTGCCTTTAGCTTATCATGTTCATTATTCCCTTGGACTTCTCACATTGCTTTGT